ATTCCCGCCTGCCCCGGAGGTGACCACTTGGTGGGGCAGACCTCTCCTGACCCACCCGTTGCTCCCCTCAGCAGTGTACTTCGTAGATCTGCCTGCTCTGCTCCCCACTCTGTCTCTGTCTCACCGCCCCTGAGCCTCTGGCCTGTACCCCAGTTCTCTATGAACAAATAAATAAATCTTTTTTTAAAAAAAAAAGTTATATTCTTTGTGTTTCATATTGTATATTTACTGTATTAAAGTCCCTTTTCATTAAAGTTTTATATGTTTTGTCTTGATGCGGCAGATGACAGAACCCACTTAGAACAGTAACACTATGACTGATTGTTTAGCCAGAGTTCTAAATCAGATTAAAACTTTCTCAAATAGAGATGGTTATATTATGTGTGTACCTTGATTTATGCTTTTAGACAACTATATGTTTACATATTTCATGTCATTTTGTCCTACATGGTTGCCACAGAAGATGATATTTCGGTCAAAATAAAGAAAAATCTTCAAAATACTTGAACATCACACCTGGTAATTCAGTTCAAAGTAATTGATTTCTTACGTGGAAAAATGTCAACATGTAAGGAAAATGCAAATACCCAAGGCACTCTTCCTCTATAAAATGGCAAATTAAATATCTATATGCATCAAAGTCCATCAAGTCTAAAGTTATAACTACACAACTAAAAACTTAAATATGGTTGAAGATTATACACATAGCTTACTTCTTCTATCAATTTATGTGGCAATAAGGTGGCTGTATAACAACATGTACATCATAATTCTGCTGTAGAAGCAGGTAGAAAAGATGGGCCCAGTAATGGTCTGATATATTTGCCCTAATGAAATTAGTAAGTAAATCAGTGCTATAGATTTTTTTCAAAATGATGAACCAGGAGGTCCAAAGGTCCTTCTTACAGTCAAATAAAATGGATTTGGATAAGACACATTTTTAGCTTACTATTGGATAAGTAAGACAATGTGATGTTTTCCAAGGAATCCCTCTCCCCATGAAGACATTTCCTGCAGCTGGCTGGAATCTGCAGGCTTGGATACCAAGGAAGAGTGGACTTGATTAAGATGAAGATTGATGCTGGCCAAGCTCTGAAGTGAAAGCTCGAGGCATGACCAGCAGAAAGCTTGTAGACTGAAACAAGGATTCTCACATTGAATGGATGTCCTTGAAATAAGGTAAAATTATCTCTGGCATTGAGCAGAAGCAGGCACAAGCAGTTTCTGGAAGAAAGCATCCCAAATGCAGGCTCTCAGGAGCCCCACAGATCAAGATCAAGTAATAAAATTATAATATAGGATCATCAAGGACACAATAACAAGCAACACAATAAGAGGAGAAGCAACCAAAACTGACTTATCTAGCCCCGAAACCTGCTTCAACAAGAATCCACAGATGCAGAATATAGAAAATATTCTGTACAAAGAAAATATCATTGAAGAGTGTAAAATGCCAATGAGCATGTAGGTTGTCCTCCCTAAAGTATACCATTAAAAGAGTATATGACTGCAAAAGAGGGGAATTTTATACAATCTTCAACCAACCAACTCAAAGGCAGGACAGGAGATTAAAAATAAAAATACAAAGGGTCAGCTCATGAATATATGGCAGATTTAGACCCAAATGTATTAGTAGTGTCATTAAACATAAGTAGAATAAATTACTAAAAGTGATGAGGACTGTCAGGCTGAATTAAAATTTTGAGCCTTACATCAAAATGCATGTTATTTGACAAAAACACAGCTAGAGCATAAAGGTACAGAGAATTTGAAAGCCAATGACTAAAACAACATCTGCCTTCCAAATTCTAATAAATGAAAGCTTTGTAACTTTCCCTATGAAGTTAACCATTAAAAATACATATATGATTGATAACAGCCTGAAAATATATAAAGAATAAATAGAACTGCAAAACAAATAGATCCTCAATCATTTTGGAAAATTGTTAAAAAAATTTTTAAAAGAATCAGGAAATCACAAAGTATTTCAGTCAATCTGCCTGTTCTGTTCCCCACTCTGTCTCTGGTGAATCCTCTCACCCTGGGCACCTCAGGCCTGTAACCCCATTCTTGTGTGCATAAATGTATAATTCTTCAAAAAAAAAAGAAAAGACTATCCGGAATTGTCTACATAAATAATATGGTCTACAAATAGGGACAGCTTTGCTTTTTCAATTTCCATCTTTATACCTTTATTTCTGTGTATTACTACATTCAGTAACTATGTCCTCCAGCAAAATGTTGGCATGGAAGTAGTATAGGTGGGTAACTTTTGTTTTGATCCTTTCTAGAAAAACAATTAAGTTTTTCAACCTTTTTTTTTTTTAATATTTTATTTATTTATTCACATAGAACTGGGGTACAGGCCAGAGATGCGGAAGGTGAAAGGATTCACCAGAGATAGAGCCGGGAGCAGAACAGGCAGGTAGATG